AAAATGAGAGCAGGGAGAGAAAAGAAAGAAAAAAGAGGAAAGAAAAAGAAAAAATAAAAAGAAAAGAAGAAGAAGAAAAAAGAAAAAAAATAGAAAAATTTCGCCAACGTGTTAGGAATTAAGTGCTTCATACTATTAAACTTGAATTTCTCAATTTTGAAAGGTAAGTAAAAAGTTACTTATTGTCAAGTTATGTTTAATTTTATAGTTGTTAGATTGTTAGATTAAATTCAATTTTTTGAAGGTGTTAAGTATAATAAACTATAAAATTGAGTCAAATGAAAGGAAAACTAGTTTTAGTGATTAAAGAGACTTTATAAATTGCTTAAACGTGAAATGATTAAATTTGAATATCACTTATTTAATTATTGAAATTACTTAAAATAGTTAATTGTTGACTTAAAAATTATATCATGGTTCAGGCGGCGATACGGATATCGGGACAGCTTATCAACCGAGTTGATATTGGCGTACGTAGTTCAGTGAGTTGAAAAATATAAATATTTTTAAACTATTTATAAATTAAGTATATTATCAAAGTATATGCAATTATGTGTTCGATTAAATGATTATTATTGAAATCTCTTTTATTATGATATATGTGGAATTTCAAAGATTATTTATAGCACATTTGTGATTTGATATATGAGACATGTGATATTGAGATTTGTTTGGTGTGTGAGATATGTAATATTAAAGATCGACCAGAAAAGTACCCATGATTATATACTCCTTCTAGTTCACAGAGGGGTATTGGCCATGTTCTATCATACACGGAGGAGTCTTGACCTGACACTAGTCTTGATCATGTATATATAGTTCACAGAGGAACCTTGGCCGTATTCTAGAATTGATTATCAAAGGTCTTGAGACCAGCTTTTGTTTACGGAGGGGGCTAAAGGCCTGTGGCGAAAGTTCTAAGCCCAATTTCGAGGGTACATTTTTGGTGGATTTTTCAGTATATTTGATATTATGAGATTATAGTACAGTTATCGGTTGATGTTTGTAGCTTGACTTTGAGATGATATTTTATGACGTTATGTGATTGTCTCACATTTTGGCTATAATCATATAATGTTATTTTGTGAATTATTTAATGATATGAATTTGTTTTCGATAAAAAATGTAAAATGGAAAAGTATATTTATTTCGAACTTCTCCACTCACTGAGTTATCAACTCATATATTTTTCCACATTTTTCTTATTAGGCAACAATTGAGTTTTTAGGTATCTTCTGGAGTTGAGCCTTGATTTTGGAGTCAGAGCCACACGACAGAGTTTGTTAGTATGACTCATTTCATAGAGCATGTAGTCAGTATTTTGGGATGCATATTCATGTCTAGACGTGATTTTGCATCATTTGTAAATGGTTAGGGGGCTCATCATGTATTTTGTATCTACATGTACATTTCATGTTATTTTCTTGTTAAAAGTTGAGATTTCGGCTTATCTTTATGTTATTGTGCTATAGTTTGAGATTTGTGTATAATTGATCACAGGTTGGTTAGTCCTGTTTACAGGGGAGATGTGTAATTGATCACAGGTTGGTTAGTCTTGTATACAGGGGAGATAGTGTCAAAATTCTGTTTTAAAAATGATATATAAATGTGGTATATTGTACTTGTAGTAGTTTTAATGGTGGGTCTGACTTTTAGTTGGTATCTATTATCGGCGCATGCCAAGTCCGGGTCCAGTTGTGTTACACGGGCGGTGTGTGTTATAATCAAAACGAGAAGTCTATCATAGGTCAACAAATTATTGACTACTTCTAACTCTTTGTTCCCAACTCTTTGATTCTAACTCTCGATTTAACTATTTTTGCATGAAAATTTGACTTACATATTTATTGTAATTGTGTTACACATTATATAATGTTGTTTAGTTGGATTTCTTTAACTTAAAGAAAGGAGAGTACGAATACAGGTGAATCTAGCATCGAAATTTAGTTAGGGCAGAGCTTGACTGTTGACCGTCGACCGTCGATAATTAACGATCGTATTTTCCTGATCGTTTATTAAAATTTGATTAAATAATATTTAAAACTATTATATATATATGTGTGTGTGCGCACGCGCGCGCATTAAAACATAAAAATTATATACATATGAGAATACAATTCAATACATCCCACAATTCCAAAATATATATATATATATATATGGGGTGTAATATTTTGAAAAATTGCAATATTGTCTCATTCTCAAGTTTTCTAAAAGTATGTAAACCACAAAATTGTTATTCAACTAGTCATCTCCCATTTTGTTATGCAAGTTACTCTTGATTAGATTCATAGCAAAAAATACACTTGTAGTTGCCACAAGTAATATCAAAACCAAGGGGATCAGCCTATAAACCAATGTAAAATAATAGGAACCTCTAGTTTCAACCAACTTTTGAGCTATACAAGATATAATATTGAGGTTAAAGAAAACTTTGTCCATTCTCACAAGCATAAGAAACTTGTCAAGTTTAGGTCTAAGTAATAAAAACTTTTCACTATTAAGTCCAAAGGACAGAATTGAGCAAAATGTAGTAATTTAGCCTTATCGAAAGTTGCAAATGAATCTCTTGGACTTAAAACGCAAAATGCAAGTAAAGAGCTCAGTAGTTGTTTTAGGAAAACGATCATTCATATCTTACAAGATTGAGTCTATCACATGACAATACAACTCAACATAAAAAGCAATGATAATAAGCCACCTGCTAAGCTGCACGCCTATATCGACCTTTCACTACTACAGTATCCTCCATATTGGGCACTAAAATGTGTCTATCAACACAAAATTCAATCACCCTACTCAACAAAGTATCCCAACCATTGCCTCTCAGGTTCTGCAATGCAAACTTACACAAATTTAATAATCTCATAGCATTCTGAATATCTTGATCATTTTTCTGTAAGACTTGTGAAAGGTTGTCTATAATTACAAGAATTTCCAACATAAAGTAAATACTGAACACAAACTTAAAATCTTGTATAGTTTCCATCCGTCTTACGGCCACTGATTTTTAATCTGAATTTACGCCATTTCTGATGTATTCTCAAGAACATCAATGATAACGTTAAACATATTAATAAAATGAGTAATTGTCAGTAGATGTGAGCCCTATCTAATATCACCTGGGTGTGCCAAACTCATTTCTTGAAATTGACTACTTTCATCAAAAAGTTCCCAATATTAAGCTTCTCCAAAATATTAGAATGATAACTTGCTCGAAGACTGTCTACACACTTACATGATGCATCTACCAAATTTACAATAATAGCAAGCATGTTGAAAAAATCACCAAGCATACAATTCATACGTGCCACAGAAACAACTGCCAACTGGAGCGGTGAGCAAAGCAATGAACATATATAGCATATGGGTTCTTTCTTAGAATTAAAGCTTTCAAACCATTGAACTCACTTGACATATTGCTTGCTTTACCATAACCTTAACCTCTCAACCCATGTGTAGAAAATATTGCATCAGTGGCATCCTTCAGTGATTGGGCACAAGTATCAGTGACATGGGAAATGCCCAAAAAACGCTCCTTTACTTTCCCACTTTTGTCAACAAAGTTCAAAACAACTACCATTTGTTCTTTTATAGAATTATCACGAGCCTCATCAACCAAAATTGAAAACAAAAAATCACCTACGTCATTGATAATAGTTCTTGTCGTCTCTACGACACAACAATTAACCAAATCCTTTTGGATGTTTGGTGAAGTCATTTTGTCATTTTCTGGAGCATTACTGAATGCTATTTCTTTAACTTTTTTACAACGAGTTGCAAACTAGTTTAATAACTCAATTAGATTTCCTTTATTAATAGACTCTTTCGATTCATCATGACCACGAAAATGACAATCCTTGCATCAAGAAGAATCTAGTACAATCTAGAACATCAATCAACCTCGTCTTATAACTTTTTTGTTGACTACTACTATCGCTAGAAATAACATAGGGGATACTCTGCTTTTGATTCATCAAGTTGGTAAACCTTGCAAAAGCTTGATTATGAACACTATCAAAGAGATCGACATGATCTTTCAATGTCTTTTTGTGCTTCCAATCCCTAAAGTCAGCTTAATGAATATATATCCAGCCCCTTGACCCCCTTTATTGGGTTTGAACAAGTAGCAATGCAAACAACACGTTGCATCATTTTCTATACTGTACTCTACCCAAAAAATTTTAGTCAACCATTCTTTTTGAAAACACCTATTATTATTTCCCATCGGTCCTCTTCGAAATTCATGTTCATATGGTTAACAAGGACCTTTTTTCCAAGTATGTCATCCTAACATCGTCTCTAATATTAGGATCATATGGCTCGATAGGGAACGTTTCCCTGGATCAGATACAAGATTATCTACATTGAATTGAGCTTGGGACTTCTTTGTGTTATTTAATAACTTTTGTGCTCGACTTGAATCAATGACGGGACTAGATGCACAACTAGAACTAGAAGAACTAGGTATGGACTTTCGTTCGGTTGAAAAAACGTTCCATAATTTGCAAAATACCCAAATTTATTTTTCAATTAGAATTCATTAAAAAAAGAGTACTGATTACACACAGGTTGAATTAAGTCTAACATCTTCTCAATTAAATTTTTTCGTTTATCCTAATTTCCTAAACATAAATTTCCAAATCAATAATCATAATTCATAAAACATAAACTACTTATCATAAATCACAATTCTCTAATAACTGACAAATCATAGATCATAACTCATAAATAATAATAAAAAATTGTCTTTTATGTGAATGTGACTAATAAGGCTAATAATACAATTTACAGACTGCATTCATTATTTAACAAGTCAAATAGAGGTATTCAACAAATTAGAACAAAAAAAAAACCAAAAAAGAAAAAAAATGTAGAGAGAAACAGAGTAAGAGAAATGAGTTCACCAGTCACCAATTGAAGGTTCACCAGTCACCAATTGAAGGCTGCACGAGGCTCGAGCTCAAAGATTCTGAGACTAGAACGACAGTTGGCAAAACATGTCGCTAGTAGCGCTGGCGACTCCTCCTCGCGGCCTCGCCCCCATCACCTGTGGCGTCAGTAGCAACAGTTGCTGCGACGCTACCTCTGCTTCGAATGGAATTATAGAATGGAAAATGGAGGAAAAAGGGTTTGCGCCTTCTTTGCGATTTTAGCTTCAGAGATTCAGAATGGATTGAATGGAATCGATTTGGTCATTTCATTTGGACCATTTATTGTTGATTTGGGGAAATTGGGTCTAATATTTTTAAACAAAAAAGAGGCCCAATGACAATTGTTATCAGTTATCACTCATCAACCTAAAAAAAAAAAAAAAACAAATAAAATAAAATAAAATAAATTGGGTCATCTCTTTCTTTCCATCGTCCTCGGCTCTGCAATTGCCATCTGCTGATTGCTACCCGATGCCCGGGGTACTGAACATTTCGTTAGATCCAGCACGCGTAGCCCTGCCTCCTCCCCAGGTGCTCGTTCCACCACTGAGTAAGATAGATTTTTTTTGGTGAAGTGGTGAATTGATGATAGTGAAGAAATGGTGAAAATCATGAATTGCACTCAGCTGAATTCACCAGTTTTATATTGCCATGTTTTGGCCTGTTAGATGAATTAATTGATTCATACAGCTGTGCTTATGGTTTTATCACTCATGTTTTTCCTTTGACATAATATGTTAGGATCCGTTTGATTACAAAGATGGAATTGAATTGAATTGAAAACGAATTCGAAGGAATTGAATTGCCTAGATTTTTTTTCCAGAATTGTAAATTATTGTTTTGATTGGTATAATTTTCCACGTGAAAAATGTTGAAATAAAATTATTTTTTAGTGTTCGTTTAGCTTTATTTTACTTGAAAATTGTTGATTAAAGGAATATAATTTACTGGTATTGGGGATGAAATTTGTTTCAATTGTCAACCAAAAAAAAAATCAAAAAAATATCTATCTTTTGGTGTACGTTTGACTTTATTTTATATGAAAATTGTTAGTTAAAGGGAAATATTTTTTTACAATAATACTTAGAATTTGTTTCAATTGTCAACCAAAAAAAAAAAATCAAAAAAATATCTATCTTTTGGTGTACGTTTGACTTTATTTTATATGAAAATTGTTAGTTAAAGGGAAATATTTTTTTACAATAATTCTTAGAATTTGTTTCAATTGCACACACACACACACACACACACACAAAAAAATCGAAAAAAATGCTACAGTAACCTGGAAAACGAATTCTCACGAATATGGTGAGAATTCGAATTCAAGAAAAGCTAGAAAATGCTGACGTGACGGCCAAAGGTAGAAAACGAATACCTTGGAAAATTTTGTCAATTAAACAAGCCAAAAATAGAAGTTGGAATTTGTTTTCCATTTTTCCTAGAAAATAAGTTACCAAACATAGCCTTAGGATGTTTGAGTTGGGGAGATTATGATGTGTGAAAATTGGTTGATTACAGTCATCACACTCACAATATTAAAAATTGTCAAAAAAAAGCTGTAAGTTCAACCAGGAGCTAGTACTGACAGACTGATGGTAAGTATTTCGATCAGAATCCTTAAGCTGCACTTTTTTTTATATATAGTCTTCTATATATAACAGGATATGATTTCTTGCTATAATATTACAACTCGTGTTGAATAGATTTCCTACCATCTTTGATATTTTCAGATTAGATAAATATGTGAATTTTAGGTTAGATTAAATTAATGTTGCTTTTTCTTAGTCTATTAACAAATCTAGAAAAAATATTTTAATATATTATTTTATATAATAATTCTTTTATCGTGTTTAATGACTATTGTTTAGTTAAGAATTAATTCCTATCTTTATTAACCTTTAAATAAAGTAATTAATTAAGAAATGAATTAAACTTTGAAAAAACTATTTTTCGCCCGTGACCTAGCAGCAAGCAATTCTGCTGTTTTCAAGCGAGTTCGTAAGGAATTTGAATCTTTTCAAAACGGATGTCTTCTTCAAGTATTTGGAGAACACAAAACAACTAGTGTTGAATGTTCAATCCTATCTATTGATCAAGCAATTTGGCATGAAGTTAATAAAGAGGGTTCTTAATCCAAGTGATAGTTGCGGCCGAGTACAATAGAGAAGTGGTGATTAAACCTTAATGAAGTAACTATGAAGCACTTACTTCCTTAAGAAATAAAAAGGAAAAAAGATAAAAGTCTAACTGAATTTTATACATATAATTACTGTAAATCAAATCAAAAGACATTCCATAAGATAGGTGGAATATGTTTAGACACAAATATTTACGTGTTTGTAAACTTTCTTTCAAAATTATTAGACATCAACTTGCATAGATTGCTTTGTTCAGAAAGCTATATGGAGGGGGAATAATTTTGGGGCAGTGTCCAAGAGTTTAGAGTGCACTTCTGGTGAAGGAATATAGACAACTATGTTATAGACAAACCCAATAGAATTCAATTTGATTCTGCGACTCCAAAACAAAGTCAGATACTAGCTGCTACATTTTATTTTATTTTTTTGGGAAAATTAAACTGTTTTAACAAATAATTACATATCCTACAGGAACAAAAATGTATTTATTTTGAATGGGTTAGAGGATTTTATGATCTGGAAGGGGTGAAACTCTTGCTCTCAGCCATGGTCTACGTTTCACTAAGGCTAATGGACTTAGGTTTAGTATTGCGGAATGTGGTGCACAGAGATTGGTACATAATACTGAACTCTCCATCTGATCTTGACCTTTAATTGTCTCATATTGTAGCTCCGTTAACGAAGTAGGTTTTGGTTCGTGTTGTTATATTCCCTGCGAGGGGAATAGGGTGGCACATAATCTTGGTCATTCCCTACTACTTGTCCAATATATTTTGATAAGCTTAAATTCGCATAGACAAATTGACGAAACTCACTGTAATTTATCATTGCATACAGGATCAGCAGAAAAACCTAACCTAGCAATCGCCAAACCATAGGAACCACGAAAAGAAAATCAATTAAATTTATTTACTGTAGAAAGGGAGACTAATTTAAATTTTTTTAGAATCATTGTCTATATATAGAGCCAACAATCAATCTCCATTGCCAAGTCCAAAGAAGAGAACTTAACTAAAGAGTGAAGGACCTTAAGTCTTTCAGTTGCCATGTCTAGCTACAAGGAACACCAGCTGAGTGTTCTGCTAGCTCTTTTGTGCGCACTTGTGTATGTAAATGCTACCATACCTTTTCCACCGTTTCTCCCTAGGCCTCCGGTGTTGGAACCAATTTTCTGTTCATCTCCACCACCACCTTTACGATCTCCACCACCACCTTTACGGTCTCCACCACCTCCACGGCCACCCCCACCCCCACCTCCACCGCCACTGCCACCACCTCTACCTCATCCACCTCCACCTCCGCCACCTTCTCCACCACCGCCACCTCCTCCATCTCCACCCCCACCTCCACCTCCACCGCCATCTCCTCCTCCTTCGAGTCCTCCACCACCACCTCCACCAAGATCTTGACCACCATATCTACCTATAAGTAGGCCCGGTTCTGGGGCTAGGTGAATGAGGCCTACGCCTCAGGCCCAGATTTTAAGGGTGCCTCATTTTCAGCCCAGAATTTTATTTTTTTTCAGTTGAACCAAACCCAGTGACGAAGAAGAGTACCCTACAACTTCAAGCCCAAATCCAATACCCTTAGTCTTAATCCATTTACCCAACTTATACATCCATAAATCATAATCTATTATCCATCATTTACCCAAAATTCCCAAATTCCCAATCCCCAATCAAAAACCCATTTCTCCCAAACGCTCGTCTGAGTAGTCCGTCCCCTTCGCAATGTCGCCAGTCGCCTCTGTCTCTCTTCTCGACTTCCAGATTTCCTCTTCCTTTGAGTCATCAGTCACGGTCCACGGAGTCGGACACCGTCGTAGTTCACACCGGTTCCATTTCGCTGCAGAGCACAGTTCGTTGTTCACCCCTGTTATCAAGCAAGTGCTTGGCAATTGACTGTTAGTTTAGTATGTTAAGATTATTAATTCCTTTTGAGTTATATGATTACATTTACACTAAGTATTCAACTATTCATTCATGGCTTTTACCTTTTACTTAATATAATTTTGATTACTTGACTTTAATTGATAAATACTATTTTTCTATATTACCGTTAAATACTTTAATGTTAATGGGTTAACTGTTATCTAGTCTAAGATGGAGTCGAGGACCTGAAAATGCTACAACTATGACCTGAAAATGCTACAACTATGTTTAATGATTATTGATTAACATATAATTTGTTTTACATCAATAGAGAAAGAAATAGTTGAACAGCTAAACTATTCAGATTTTATTAGTGTTTTTGCCTTTTAGACGAATAATATTTAACTAATTATTTGAAATATTTTTGTTTTGTTATTTGATAATATAAATTTTTTATATAATATATCTGTTTGTTGTTTTAACGTTAAATTTTAAGTTTGCAATAAGTTGCATAATACACCATTACATTTACGTTGATTTCGGGAAGGGGCCTAATTTATATGCTTTCTCTCGGGCCCGACAATCACAGGACCGGCCCTGCCTGTAAGTTGTTGGACAAGATTCCAATCTTCTCTATCGCCATATCAATATTCTAGGGGAAAACATTAAAAGCCCATATTACACTACAATCATAATGGTTGTAATATTAACCCAGCTCACAATAAACTACAAATTTCTAACAATAAAACTCTTTTAAAAGTTTCCTTTACCAACTCTCTATTGGCAACGAAAAACTTGGAACATACAACTTCATATCCAGGACATAAGTGCGTGGAGTTCCTAGCATTGTAGAGTGTTGTACATGAAGTAAATTTACAATTACTATATCTAATATGAGATATTGTTTGTAAATGTGTTGTAATCTATACACGCATTAAATAATACTGATGTTTCTCCTTTGGTATCAAAGTGTTACATTTAGCTGCGAGGCTTCTAACTGCTATTAGTCAATTGTATTGCGAATGATGATTGAGGTACAGAAGGAGGGCTTCCAGAATACACACAAACATGTGTGACCCGATTTTTTTAGCAATATTTAATTTACATGGGTCCCACTTTCATGTGAGTATCTGTATCAATTCTGTACAAACATTTTCTATACAAATGGTTTTTTCCTTGTATTGCATGTACATCATTACAGAAGATTGATAAGTGTATTTTATACACTTATTCGGGGCTCTAAATTAACGATATTTGATAGTCTTTTAGCAAAATAAATTCTAAATTGTTGTGTCTTACGTTTAATAGGTGAATTTTCATGGATTAAAAGGAAGTGAAGGAAAGAACAGAAGATTGGGCGAAAATGGCAATATTTAAAGTACGTGGATTAAAGTGGCCATTGAAAGAAAATTGGAAAGCAATTGGAATCCTTTTGAAAGTCAAACATTGTGGGCTAGGTTACTACTAATATAAATACATACATACCCACAGAAAGAAAAGAGGAGGAATTACACGCCAACTGGGGAGAGAAAAATGGCAGGAGAAGGGGCTGAATTTTCAAGATAAACACACACAAAAACACAAATAATTGAGGGAAGACAGTTACTGAATTTGGGAAAACACATACAACTGTAGGTTGCTGGTGTATATTATATTCACACATAGGCTGCTAGAATTATTTATAAAACACACAACCATTGGGCTGAGAAATTGGAGAAGAATTGGATTTTGTTTTGAGAGTCAACAGGTTGGTTGTGAGCATCATGAAGACATAAAAGGCTACTGAAACATATACATATATACACGGTTGTTCATCAAGTATATATATACACAAAAACCACTGCCAGAGGAGAAAAAAGGGCTGACCATATGCACAAAATTGGAGACGGACCGAAAGCAGTTGAAGAAAGAATTTCAGATTCTTTGTATGACAGTCCATCAACAATTTGTGCAAGAATTTGGATATTAATCACGTTCCGTCAATTTCTCGGTGATGTCCTTCCAATTTTATGTGTTTAATTCCAATCTTATGTTAGGCTAATTTTTTTTATGTATTGGATAAAGATGAAACCCTTTGTTATTTAATTTTAATTCGAGACATGTTTTAGTTGAATTCTTGCAATTTTTTTATTAATCTTGCATGCTTAATTTATTATTTGATTGCTTGATCACCAATTAAATGCGTGCAATAAAATTTACCACGTATGCAATCTTTAAGATAATTTTGAAATTGATTGCATTTTATTCATATGAATTCGGACTAGGAATAGGATCGGGTCGTGAATAGAATATATTTAATTTGTCTTGAAAAAGAAAATTAATTACAATAGAATTATCGATTGTCAAGAATGCAAGAACAAAACTAGCTACGTAGTTGAGAATTGAAATAAATAATAATAGGTGGATTCGTAATCCAATACATTCTTCCCATATACATATTAAATTCACATTTTACACATTTTCGTAAATTAAATTAGAATAATTAAAAATCACAAAAATCATTTTTATTGATTTACTTTGAATCTAATTAAATACTAGTATGCTCAATTAAATTTTATTCCTCGTGGGACGATACTCTCAACTCATCAAAAATATTACTTGTCAATGATCCCGTACGCTTGCAGGTTTCACACGAACAAAGATAAATCTATTTGGTTCCTACAACCTATATGTGTAGACTAACCATTATTACTGACTGTGTATCTTATTAAATATAATGGACACAAATTGTCACTAATTATGGAATCCTTCCAAAATAAAATAAAATTTGAAGCCACACTCTTCTTTTAAACTATATGTAAAACTCTAAATTGATCTTCATATTCACAAGTTGTTTGGAGAATTTCTAACACGCAACTGCAGTAGTCATAGTAAAACATATTTAATAGTGAATTTGAATAATTAGTACTAGATATCCAATTTACATCTTTGCACCATTAATCCAACATGGTGCAGATCAGCAGTTGAATAATCTTCAGACATTTCAATACTATTATTATCTCAATACAAATGCAATAATTGAATTTCGTTCCCATTGATATTTTACCACTTTTGGCTTAGGGTGCATCACCTTTCTGAATCATCCTCATGCTTCTAAAATTGGTATAATGGCTATATCTACCTTTCCATTTTCATAGAAATTTTTGTATGACCAATAAGCTATTTAATTAAGATTGTACCTTATAGACAATGCTACTCCCACAACAAATTGGGAATCTAATTGGCAAGTAGTAATGCTACACCCACAAATCTTGGGTAGATCCTTTCATTCAACAAAAACAATCTCTATTGCTTAAAAGCAACTCTTCTCAGATTTATGTGAATAATGATCTGTTGTTCGATAGATAACATTTCATGAATTAAACAAAGTTCAAATGACAAATTGAACCCATCACTATGCCTGTCAGTATCACTTAGGCGAATAATCATTATGTGTGCTAATATAGACTATCCTTATTTCTTGTACCATTGTTAAGGGTTTGCCTCAAAATTAGGCTTTGGATTCTTCAAGATTATGTATGAGATTTGGAAAATCAATTGAATCCAAAATTAAGGAAATAAAATCTGGGCTTCGAATTTTTTTCCTTTTACGTGATTTTTCTTAATTGTAATCTAATTTCTTATCTTTTAGGACTCTATTAGAGTTATGGACGTGGCCTATAAATTAAAGGATCCTTTATCAGTTTTATAGAAGGTTTTTTACTGTTTAGTTGTAATCTCTCCATATTGTCGGGTTTAATAAAATTCATTGCTCGTCTGCATAATTTCTCTTTTTCTACTTTACTTTAATCTTGTTTTCCTGGTGCAATCTTGAATATTTCATTATTGCCATTAAATCTCAATCTTGCATAGCCTTTGGGATCAACAAGTGGTATCAGAGCACGTGTTGCAGATTCTTCGTGATTTGGTTGGGCTTTTCAAAGATGAATTCGTTAAAGTATGAAATTTCGCTGCTGGATCGCAATACAAGATTTTCGTTGTGGCAAGTAAAGCTAAGGGATACGTTGACGTAGATAGATTTTGACGATACTTTGCTGGATTTTGAGAGGATTCAAGCAAATTTGCCTATGGAGGAGAAACAATGAAAGGATCGAAAGGCTCTAATGTGGATTCATCTTTACTTATCCAATAATATTTTGTAGGATGTCTTGAAGTGGAAGACGACGGCTACTTTGTGGCTCAAGCTGGAACAGTTGTGCATGACAAAGAGTCTGACGAGCAAACTAACTTTAAAGTAGAAGCTGTATTCCCATCACATGGCGGAAAGAGGGTCACTGCACGACCATCTTGCTGTGTTTAAGGAGATTGTTGCAGATTTGAAGACGTTGGAGGTAAAATATAATGAAGAGGATCTGACCTTGATCTTGTTGTGTTCGCTACCCAGTTCTTTTTCGTTGTTTCGTGACACTATATTATATAGTCGTGACGCGCTGGTCATTGTGGACGTATATGATGCCCTGTTCTCAAAGGAGAAGATAGAACTGTTGCTTGAAGATCCTACTTCTAGGGGTGGGGATGCTCTGGTTACTCATGGTGAT